AAATCTCTTGATTTTAATAAATGTTTTAATTAATATTTATCTAATGATTATGAAAGTTAAGAGTTTGTAAATTAAAATACCATAAAATAATAATTTATTCATATCTATATATATGTATATATATATATATATATATATATATATATATATATATAGATTTATGTATATTATGCATACATCATTTTACATATATTGTATCCACTTAAGTATATGTTGTGAGGAAATTGTTATAAAATGAAATGGCATATGTTACTCTAGACAGCATTTAATTCAATATTTACATTTTTATATTCATAAGCCAACAAGCGTTTGTGTTGGATCGACTCCTTATTTACCATACCTTATTTACATACATTATAGATTCATATAAAATTTATGATAATGTCTTTCAAATTACTAGAAAAATACTTAATGATATATATTAATTATCAAGATAGGACACAGCCGTGTTCTTAAGATTAAACAAATAAGACGAGAATGAGAATTGCCGTATATGCCTCTTAAAACTATGCCAAAATCATTTAAAATTTTGATTAAAGGATGCTAAGGGATTGATTCGAATCCACATTGGCATATCCATTCGCTCTCCTCCCACCCGAACATCGCACGAGCTGACAAATAAGTCTAAAACAAAATAAAAAGGATATCCGAAAACAAAGAGAGGATGATGAATGTTTGAAAGAAAGTGACGAAGGATAGGTTCATATAACAAACACAACTCACCTGGTGCGCGCTGCGGTAGAGGTCGAGCGTATGGTCGGAGCCTGCCGAGATCCACGCAAAAGCACCGGGTGTAAAGACACGTCGGCGGTTAGTCGCGTACTGAAATTCGCGCGCACCGAACCTACCGGCCGACTGCCGCGAGCCGAGGGTGGCAGGAGAGCGGCGTGCTCGAGGTCGAGAGAGACGCAGTGGCTAAGGGCGAGCGAGCGAGACGGAGACGGGCGAGCGAGCGGGGCGGCTTCGTGTGCCGGCTCCACGCGGACGTCGTCCCCCACCTCTACCACGCTCGCTCTCCCTCTCTCACCTACGCGAACCTCCCCAACCCCCTGTCAACGCACTCGACGCACTCCGCGCCCGGGATCCCCGATCCACCCGCACTCACCCCCCATCGTATCACGAGCTTCCGCGCGCTCATCAGCTTCTCTCCTTTTATTTACTTTGCACTCTGGCGCTGATAAAGCTAAATAAAAATTGTTGATGAAAGAACATATAAAAGACGTATTTTTTAATTATAGCTTTTTCTACACTTTTACGTTAAATCAATATGGCGATGTCTCGACGAAGACGAGATGTATCGATAAGCCGTTGTGTGATATTGCCAAGAGCCTCTGGATATCGATATTTTACTTTCGAATCGTATACATTAAACGTTATCATTTCCTTCTTTATCATATATATGTATCCATTTTTTCTCATTTTCTTTTCATGTCTCTGTTAATTAGAAAGGTGATTTTTGCCAATTAACGGTAATTGTTTTGCAAATGCGTATGGGAGAGGATGCGGGAATTACGGACGGAAGCATATTAAGTTAGACGCCAGTTAAGAATGTCCAAATACATTGTCACGAACGGGCGAAGGTACGAGCAATTTTTTAATAATGCGTGAGCATTTGCTTACACATTTGCAATTTTATATCAATATTTCGTACATAAATATGGAATGTTCGAATTGCATTGGGAGCAAGTCAATTCATCATAAGATAAGAGTCGTCGAATGGAGATAGAAATACTTAATCTATACTTAGTTCCTCAATATCTTGAGATATTCATTCGTTGATACACTAGTTGACATAATTAAATAAAAGTCCGTCAAAGTTGAGTAGCTGCGTACTTGTTAAACCTTCCCCCCCCCCCCCACCCCAAAAAAAAAAAAAAATATCGTTCTTTT